TTTCATGAAAATTAATTAAAAAATATAAATTAATATCTTTTTTTAGTTGTTGACACAGATTTAGATGTGCAAAGAAACTCAACTGTACTCAGATAAGAAATTCAAGGGAATAGGATAACTGCACTTTATAACTAAGAACAATTACCTACCAAAAACTAAAGAGTAAGAATCAAATGGGGGGGGGTACCTATTTCAGTTATAGTAACTCATTCTTTAACCATGCTTCCAGTAAGTGATACTTAGTATCTATAACAATAACTACTGAATATAAAAGAAAACTAACAAAGAAATACTTTCCCAAACCATTTAACCATTAATTTCTGTTCACTTATTTTTTCTTTTAATTTTTATTCTTTTTCATGTGTGTACCACTGAATTGGATCTGACTGGTACAGGTGGAGATTGCCCCTCCTTCTCCAGTGGAGCATCTGGTGGATTTGAATGACACACCTTTGGAATTGCAGCTTCTTGCCACTAGGCCACCAGAGTGGCCTTTCTATTCACTTCTAGATATTAAGATGATTTTTTAAAATTAATTTTAATGAACATTTAGAGATTTTAGATTTCTATTCATTCATTGTTGCACTTTTTCCCCTGCCCAGCCCTCCCCCACAAATTCGCATCTCTCTTTGAAAAGTAAAAGAAAAATTCTTTCATTGGTATACAATCCCACCCCCAGCACCCCAATTACACTCCACTATGCAACCTTAATTCTGGACTCTTGTGATAACCATAATACTCTATCATATACCACTTTTAAACTGTTCTCTCCCTCATCTGTTTCAATGCAATATACATAATTTATTTAGCTTTTCTCAGTCTTACCCCAATCCTGATGTCAGCCCCATTCTACAACAGTGGCACCATGCAATATTTGTCCTTTTGTGACTGAAATATTTCACTCAGCATAATGTCCTCCAAGGTCACCCATTTTGAATAATATTGCATGAGTTCCTTGTTTTTCAATGCAGCGTAGTATTCCATTTTGTGAATATACCACAGCTTGTCTACCCATTCGTTTGTTGATGGGCACTTGGGTTGTTTCCAACTCCTTGCTATTGTGAACAAAGCTGCGATAAATATGGCTGTGCATATATCTGCTTAGATGTTTGCTAAGATGATTTTTTTTAAAGTCTGTTATATTTTTCTGGATTTTGCAAAAGTAGTCAGATCTCATTCCTAGGTAAATGACTACGATAAGAAGAAACTATTATGACTATTATAAGAAGAGAAAAACATAAAAATATTATTGGGAAGAATCTATAAAAGCTACAAAAGGACCAATCCTATAATCTATTTATTGGTAACAAAGAAACAGATGATGGTTCCTAAACAGAAATTTAGCTTGATCTTCCAAGGAAATTGAGGCATAATGAAGTGAAATAACTTTCCCACCTGTCAGTCAAATACTCCATTTTTTCCATTCAGATAATTATAGTAAGTAAATATGTAACCCACATGTTTGAAAACTCAAGAGAATTTTTGCTTTGGGTTAAAACTTGAATTTAAAATTGAATTTCAACTTATGAAATTAAGAGTAATTTTATAGAAGCTCTATCTTTAAAATAAGATATTATTCAAGTTGACTATAAAGGGTATATACTCACTTAAAATATATACTATTACATTTGCAAATCACATTGAGAATATTAATAAATAGAATCTCAATGCTGCTCCAGGAATTCTGACTCACAGTGACCGTATGAGAAAGAATTGTCTCATAGCGTGTCTGTGACTATAAATATCTTAACTGTGATATTAGTCAAAGTTTACAATGCATATTGTTTTTTCCAAGCAGTCATTCACATACATTTGGTGCCATGACATTCATTACAATATCCATAATGTCTGGTCATATTTTCACTCACCTTGTGTTTATTTATTTATTAATTTGTTTTCTACTTCTTCCCCTCCCAGGTAGCCATACTAGACTAATTCTCC